CCTTCCGGGCGTCGTCACCCTCGAGGCTATCCCGCTGTGAATGCTCTTCTTGATCTGGACGAAATGTCCTTCAAATAGTTTAGCAGTACCTTGAAGGCAGACAACTTAGCTGAGGTGGTCATTAGAAGACCGAAAGAAGAGATGAACTCGTCGTCGCTCCTGGATGAAGCTGTCCTAGAGGACGCTAAGAGGGTGCTGAACGCACGAAGTTTACCGTCGATACTGAAGGACCCCTCGAATCCGTATTATCCTTTGGTAAAAGAATTTCAAGACGTCGTTTTCAAAGACCTGCCTTTGGGCTACCTCCGGACCGAGGTGTGTGTCATGAAATTGACCTGGTTCCGGGAACCAAATACTGTGGAACACGCCAATGGCCCTGCCCAAAGAGTAGTGTGACATAATTGATACTGTTTTCTTTGCGAGGCACGACGCAGGAATGGTGCGTAAGATCAAGACTCCCCATTTGACACCCACGTTTTATGTTCGGAAGACAAACGGCAAGTGGCGTATCGTTACGCTTACAGAGAGCTAAACGCTGCCACTGTTTCAGCACAGACACCGGTCCCTAGAAAGTGTATTCTCCAAAACAATTAGTTTGCTGTACAAAGTACAGCGCACACGACTTGTCGATGGTTAATACCAATTGCTCTTGAGAGCGAGCGTTATTTCGCTGAAAGTGGTGAGTTCTCCGAGCGGGATGCTCTGGAAGTGGCTGGTGATGCCGAAAGGGCTGTCAAATGCGCCAGTAACATTTAATCGTCTTGTGAAGCAGTTGTTCAGGCCCCATCGGACGTATGAACAGACATACTTTTACCACAGCTTCGTTCACAGTCGCGCGGAACACAGGTGGACAGATGTGGAAAACCACATCATTCATTTGAGAGCGGTGCTCAAGTGTATGCGCACGAATAAGCTGTATGCTCATGCCGATCTTCAGCGCATAAGAAATCCTCTTTCTAGGGTGCTTCATTGGGAAACGTGGCCTTCAAGCGGATCCTGCAACTTCAAGGCCGTTGTGAACTGGACGGCTCCAAAGAACCAGAAGGACTTGCGCAAGTGGCTTGGCCTGCCAACTACTTGCTCAAACTATACGGAAATGGCACGGCCATTGTCTAATCTCCTCAAGAAGGAAACAGAATGGTGCTGGAATCCGGGGAGAAGTGCAGCCTCCTTCATGCACTAATACTGGCGTTATCAGACCCCGATCGCCCTTTAAGTGTCGTCTGTGACGCTTCAGACTTTGCTATCTGCTGTGCACAGCTTCAAGCAGATACCAAGGGACGAGATCGTGCGATCGCGTTCGAAGCTCGCCAGCTTAAGGCTGCGGAGAGGAACTATTCAGCCACGACAAGGAGTTACTTGCGATGACGTATGCACATGTCATGTTGAGAGCGCACCCGCTCGGCTCAAAGCCGTTTGTGCTCTACACAGATCACGCGTCATTACACACTGCGACTCAGTCGCCTCACCTTTCGTAGAGGATGACCAGGTAGCTCTTATTCTTTGCAGACTATAACCTCAGGGTGAAGTATAAGCCAGAAAAGCAGAATGTTCTGGCTGATGCGTTGTCCCACAGACCGGACTATGAGCTTGCTCATCTTACGACGGTAACGTCACCAGTAACGGATTTCATCCGCGCCGCATACGCGATTAATAGTAAGTGCGTAGCGCTGCCACAGGCTCTCGGGAGCAAGGAGCTTGGAAACTCGGACAAGAAATTGTCGGCGCGATTGCGCGCACGATTACACCGATATTCGTTAAACAACAATTAGCTGTATTGTAGCACCGACTGAATAGATACGTCACGAATTGTGGTTCCTCATAATGAGGATTCAAAATACCGTATTCTCTATGAGACCCGCGACACTCCACTCAGTGGTCATCTCAGTCATGAGAAGATGTACAGCTCGGTGGGTTGCCACTATTGGTGGCCTAAGTTGTACAAGTGGACGAGCACATATTTGCGCACGTGTAAGACGTGTCAGAGAGTGAAATCCCTTCGAATGAAGCGGCGCCGCAGGCCAGTTTATCGGTACCCTCCTCGTGTCGGCATTCCATGAATATGGACTTTGTGTCTGGCCTGTCAAAGGACTATTCAGGCACCACAGGTGTGGTGATTGTTGTGGATCGTTTGAGCAAGACGGCTCATTGTGCGGCAGTGCCGGACACCATCGACGGTGTGGGTACAGAGGCGCTGTTTGAAATCATGTCTTGCGACAGCATGGACTCCCGGAGTCAATTGTCTCTGATAGAGACCCGCGCTTCACTTGGAAGTTCTGGTCTACAATTTTCAGGGTGCTGGTCACCAAGTTGACTATGTCAACAGCGGATAATCCGCAGACCGACGCGTCGTCGAAGACGCAGTCACACCGTTCTACGTGAACGGGCTTATTAATCCTCGCGTCCCGCTGACATCGCCATCCCATTGCTCAGGGCTTTGTTATGGAGGAATGGCCGAGTGGCTAACTGATATCAGCCCCCTCACCGTCCGTAAAAACAAGATAACGTTATGTCTTCGTGCCTAAGTATCCTACGACACGTTCGCGAAGCGATGGCCGAAAGCCAAAACATGCAGAAAGAATAATTCTCAAAAAAAGAATAATTCTTAAAGAATAATTCTCTACTTTTTAAGGAGATTAGACAAAAGTTGTGCCATTTCCGCATAAATTGCGCTTTACTTGTAAAAGTATCTTCGTTCAGTCTTAGAATGACCACCTCGGTGAAATTGCCTGTGTTCAAGGCACTGCTAAACTATTTGACGGACATCTCATTCAGATCAAGAAGGGCATTCACCGCGGGAATAGCCTCGAGGGTGTCGTCGCCATCTTTCACTTTCGTCATACCGTCGACAGGGTTATATAGTTGTGCGCTATCGTCTATGGTAGGAACAACCTGGGTCAGGTTCGACGCCCTGCATCTTGCAGATATCATACGGCTTCGTCGTCTCCTCTCTGTAGAGGCTCTACGTCTCATCCAAACCATTGGGAACACGCACTCGGCACCACCCAGTGTCCCCACTCCCTGCTCCATTGGAGCCTTGATGTTATTAACAACATCCGACGAAGAGCTGCTATTTCCGCAGTCTTCGTCTAGTGAATAACGTGCCACTTCACGCGCATTAAGAGGGCCTCGTCTTTGATGCCTTAGACCTCGTCCGAACATGCCATTCTTGGCACGCAGCAACTGCTTTGTAGCGTGAGCAGTGTTCAGTGTATTACGTGCCACTCCACGTGCATCACAAGAGTCTCGCCCTTGATGCCTCAGCCCTTGGCCGACCATGCCACTCTTGGCATGCAGCAACTGCTCCAATACTTGAGTAGCGCTCAGTGGGTTACGTGCCTTTCCACGTTCAGCCCGCGAGCCACGCTCGGCACTCTTGTACAAAACGCTTTTGGTGTTTGACGAATTGGATACTCCGATATCCAGCACATTGACCGACCTGGTCCTGTTCCCGCGCCAACAGCATTTCTGCTTCTTAGCAGAGGTGGGTTCACGAATCACGAACTTTACAAATGGGAGACGTGCGCGTAGCGCCAGATGTCTTCACCACCAACCAAGCCATGGCTCAAAGTATTCCAACCAAGCCATGGCTCAAAGTATTCCAACCATGCCATGCCAACAATTAGGTCATACCGTGCATTAAAGTCTAAGACTTGACAGCGTTCTAAGCTATCAAAGTCAAAACATTGAAACCGAGGTCCACAGGGACCCTCGGCACAGTAACTCAAGTTCCCGTCGCTACGCGAACAGTGACGGTGTCACTCAACCGCGCTTCCAGCGCCTCAGTATACAGCTGAGTTCCTTTGAATGTGGAAGTCGAGCATAACTGTTCGACGCACCATAATCGATAAGGATTTTCATGGCTTATCAAAGCCCTTCACGGTTGATTTTACGTCCGACTAGCCCGGCTTGCACACACGTTCCGTACGCAGCTCTTCGGGGCTGGGATCTGCTGCCCATCTCCGCTTTGAGGCTCAACAGATCTCATTATTCCCCACCCTGGGTACTCCCGCGACAAATTAGACTAGAAGAAGCGGGACGTCGGTATGATGAACCTATACGCGCCTTGCGCAGGAGACATCCAGTCCTAAGGTGACGGGTTACCTCACGGATAAAACATTGTCGGTTGTATAAATTCTGCCCGGCAGCTCGGAGCTCTCCATCCTCTTTTTCAGTATTGCTGAGATCCATTGGCTGAGGCCCATTTGACGAGGTCTGAGGTTGTGCATTCCAACCGTGCCGACTTGAAGTTGAATTCGGCATTCAATGCCACGTTCACCGCTTTTTCAAAAGAAAATGGATGCACACGGAAGACTTTCATTTTGGCCACGCAGTGCGGAAGCCCTCCATAAAGACGGTCACTGCAACCGTCTCAACGAGCTGACCTGCTGCCATCCCGGCAATGAGAGCTCTCACCTCCAGCACAAAGTCCACCAACTCCTTCTTGCCCTATCAGGCAGCATGAAAACGAGATTGCACACGATATGCCTGATTAGGCGACGAGAACACTCGCACAAGCTGACGCTTCAGTTTTTTCAAGGAGGGGGACGCAGCTTTAACGGAAGCACCGCATGTCAGTGCCCATTCTTTTGCTCGACCCCCGAACTTGAAGACAGCTAGCGCCCGCACTGTTGCTCGTTTTGGAGCATGGCGGATGCCATAGCCATCTCGGCCTCACTCTCCCAGAAAAGGATCTTCTCTCCATTCTTTCCCTCGTAGTTCTTAATGCTCACCATGAGCGGCCTCGGTCGGAAGGAACCAACCGTCGGCGGCGGTGGCGTCATGGACGTAGACGTCACAGACAGCTTCTGCTATAAGTGCTCTAACAGAGTATTTTTATCATTTGAAAACGCCTCGAGGTGCCCGCTTATCGCCTCGGGCCCTTGCGCAACGAGATGCTCCACGCCCTCAGAGTCCAGCAGGGCATCAGCTTATTCTGCCCGTTCTGCAAGCC